TATGGTTCCATAGAACTATAGTTGTGGTTCTTTGGTAGATTTTATTTATTACAAAAATTTTCATGGAAGAAAAAACCATTTCATATCATTTGAAAAATGTTTTTCAAATATATTTATTTCCTAAATATATTTAATAATTAGTTTCATATGAACCTTTACAACGTACAACCTTTACCTTTACATTTAAACCCTATAAGCTCAAATTAAAATAATTTATAAAAATGGAATATGAAGATGAATTTTTTCGCCAGAAAATGAAGATGACTTTCGCTAAATTCATAATTATCAATAAAAACGATATTTTCTGTCATTTTCCTTAGATAGCATTACACGATTCCGTGAAAACATTTTATTTGCCTGAATGTTCATATTTATATTTGAATTACATCGTTTATTCCTGTTGGGATAAACTTGTTGGAAAAATTTGAGTGATGCTGACGACTCACATCTACAGCTATCGACAATCAATGCACTACTTGGAATATTCGTTCAACGTAGGGAGCCAACGAAACGGACTTAGCTAGTAATGGTGTTCAATGAAAACTATTCAGCGTATGCAAGGTCTGTGATACGGTGCTCTGGACTGATTTGGATGCTTCTTGAGTGTCGAAATATCGATTGCCCAGTCTATAGGATATTGTAGGGGAAAGGACACCCTTGACACCAGTTCTTATTTCGAAAGAGTTCTTGTTTCTATCAGTTCACCCATATACACAGATCTCGCCGACCTACGCTCATAAAATGCCTTTATAAGTCGAATGATTTTCTGGAACACCATCACGTTCCATCAAAGCGCCGCTCTATAAATTGAATCAACGGCAGCCGCAAAATCCATGAAACACGTGACAGTCAGTTGCAAATATCTGAAGCGATGTTCCAACCCTTCTTAACGTGAATATCTGATCAGCATAGTCTTCACTTCAATTTCGAATTTTTGCTTTTAATTTTAGAAAAATTCTTTGAAAAAAAGTTTTAGGTTGTTGCAGTCGAAGAATTTGAGAAGGAGAAGGAGGCATATCGCAATGAATTAATGAGGAAATATCGGAGAAGGCAGTTGCTTATTTCACCTTTTTGAATACTACTTGAATACTACGAAAATGGATCGAATGCGCGGTGCTTTTGGTATTGGTCGCAGTTACACAAATAGGAATTTGTTTGTAAAACATATGATATAGTAATAGTTTATGTAAATGGCACCATAATTGGCAATTAATTAAAAAATGTTTTTCATTATTGTCAAAAGAAAAAAGTTTGTTTTACTTGAATTTCTTCTCAAAACTAATAACAACTGTGGTCAAATTAGTAACGAAGGGATCGAAAATAGAAGTGAAAAACGACATTTGTATCGAAGGTTATTGCTTTTATATTTTATTGGGACTATTAAATGAAGGATAAATTATTATTTCGTAGTAAAACTGACCAGTTCCTTGGCCTAAGCGAAGAAGAAAAATACCTTTTAATCACAAAATTTGGAAAAAAATGTTCATTGATCTCCAGTTTTTTTATGATTTTTTGCTTCATAGCACAACTTTGCAACAGGAGGGGGAATGTTGAAAGGGAATTTTCAGCTTTCCAGTTTGTCGGGTGTACATCCCTTTTCTCTTCTTTCGGATCGTCCTGTAATGCTTCAGTGTTGATTTTTCTTCCGTTGAAAAAGTGGCTTCCTTTTTCCTATATTGAAAGAATGGTTTCTCAGTCAATATAGGCGTAGATCTTTTTTCCACCCACAATTCTTTCATACTTTTTACACAATTCTAACCAAAAATGGTGAGCATACGAAAAAAAAAACAAAAATATGACAATTTGCTAAACAATTTGCATGAATCTGCAAAAGAATAAATCTTAAAAAATTCTAGTCAATCAGGATTTTAATATTTTGTTAATTAATAGTTATTTGGGAGAATTTTTTTCACAACTCTCTACAATAAGAATAACTCATTTGCTGCCAAAATGATAATTTTAAAAATTCTAATAATATCTAATCCTTGCACAGTGAATGCATAGCACCAAAAAATTAAACGAAGCAAAATAATAACAATAATATTATGTTTTTATATAACAATACTATATAAAAAGTGAATCTGCCACAAAGCATCCTTTTATCATGTAATCAGATGAAATCGTTTGCGACTTTCCATCGAACATTCAGGCCAATCTAAATACTGAGAAAGAAGAGGAAAAAATAAGAAAATTGGAAAATAATGATAAGAAAAGAGATAGTAATTTGCACCAATTGCAGATTTTTGTCTCCCTCTTGTAAGGTTTGCAGGCTTTTTAGAGAAAGAGTGACTTGGTTCCTCAGCACCTTCGCCTTGTTAATTTCAGCGACAGTCACATATTTAAAATATGGCAGGCAAGTTCTCGCCCAAAAATCTCGGCGAAAAAGTAGAAAGGCTTGGATGCTCTTCTCGCCGCATGATGATGGTATCAATTAACCTCAACCTCAGGTCCCCAACTGGAGTCTGGAAAGTTAAGATAAGTACAGTCTTGCACAAGGATTCTCACCTAAAGTTGGTGAGGTCGAAACCATTATCCATTATATACTGTTAAAGACGAAATTCATCTATAAATTTTAAATAATCTAAAAATAAAACAATTATTTATAGGAAAAATTCCACTTAGAAACCAACTATCGTAAAAAATAAAACTGACTATTCTTGAAAATTCAGCAGACGAAGTACACCACCAACAAGATATAAACTTCCAGTTACTAAAACTTCTACTTCACCTTTATCCAGCGCTTTGTTTTCAATAGAAATGATAGCGTCTTGAATGCAATTATGTATTTCGCCAGGTTTGTCCTGCAAAATTGATAAAAATTGTTCCTCTAACCAGTGTTTTAACCATAAAAATGTACAGTTCGATAGATAGTTTAAATGTACAGTTTAATGTACGGGACAAAAAATGGCCAAATCGAAGTCACATATCTAAAAAATGATAGTCCATCAACTCTGTGGTTGAATTCAAGATTAAATCTAAATTGCGACGAATGATTGAATCGTATGTAGTGTTCATTGGCAGAAATAAATTTTCGGAACGAGGTCAGTTCGTGGCTGCGGTGAAAGATGTCGAGGACAACGATAATAGCATCGAGGAATACGTTATGGATCTAAAATTTTTGAAAGAACACGGATATTTTATTTCATAGATTTAGATCAACTTGTTTCGCTTATTCCTCGAGGCAGTCACCTGAAATCTCTCGTAACCTGAATATTTTCGGTACTTTTCGGTGCATTCGGTGGCTCGTTCTATGGAACCATTGAAGGCAAACTGTCGCCTAAGCAATTATGGAAGATTTATAATGACATTGGTAGAATTATATTCGCCACAAATTCCAACTTCTATTATAGTCACATCCACATTTTCTTTTATATAAATATAAAATTATAGTATTGTTAGAAGCGACAAATATATGGGCATTTTATTTCCCCAAAACCTGGTGAACTCGTTGAAATAGCCCAGGGAACTAATTTTTTTTGGTGGACAAAATTTCGCGACAACAATAGACCATAAGAGTTTGACTTCAACTTAATAGCAAAGCGCGACACGTGAACTAGCGACGTTGAATCGGACGGACATTGGCGTTGAAGAAGAATAATAGGAACTTAGTGGGCTTTTTAGAGATATGGAAAAGTACATATAAACGAGAGGTGCACGGGTGCAAATCTGCGTTCAAAGGCAATACCGCTTATCAACGGGTTTGTTTGTTCCTTTTTACGAGTTTCAATGGATATACGACTTCTGCCTAATATTTAATATTATTTCGGTTACGGCATTTCACTCCCGATTGTCCTGAATGTCTTCGATTTTGAAGCTTTCGACCATTTGGTGCATGAAAGGTCTTACGGACTTGTTGAACGAATTTAAAGGCTATTTTGTGCTGCATAATTTTTATTAAGTCTTTAAACGAATATTAAACGCGGTAAAATTTGAATAGTTTGAATAGTTTTGGTGCAGGTAGCGGTCGTTTTGGTTCCCACATTTTATTTCATTGTTCGTGGAATGTTGGTTGTTTTTTCTTTTTTCTTGAAAAACAATGTTGTTTAGGACGATTAAATTTCGGTTACTTATTCGGCGGACTTTTTCGGAAAAAGGGTCCGTAAACCTTTGAAGGAGTTCATAGCACCACTCTGACGAACCAACATTTTAGGGGACCGCCAGGAAAGGCTTCGTTTAATCTGATTTGATTACTTAATTAACTAAGTAATAGAAAGGCATTATTGCTTTTTTTCCGTTCTCTTCTTATTTTCACCTCAATTTTTATGTTTTCGCAGAGTCACAGAGTCTCTTCGTTCATTCACTCGTTTCTAAATCATTATTCTAATTTCGTCCACTTAATGCTAACTTTTAGTATTAGTTCAATATTACAGCCGTGGGACAAATTTCATTCCATGGCGGTCAGCCTATGTCAAATTGGGCGGAGAATTGAAAGGTCACATGTCACGTATTAAGGCAAGACGAACTGTTTAGATCTTCGTCATTGCACTTAGTGAGTTTGACTGGCATTTTGAATCACACTTTGGTATTATAAATATTGCGCAGATACTGAGGTTCCACTCCGTGCAGAAGTAAATCTGTACAAAAATCCGAGTTCCCTTTAATTCTATCGCCAAGGGACTCCCTAGCAAATCTGTCTAGTGCGACAAGCCAGCGGAGCCATTCTAATTTGTTATGAGGGCTATAAAAAAAAATTTATAATTTCCACTATTTATTATTTTTCACTAATTGAGGAAAATTAGATTGATTTTAATTTTATTGATTATTTCATATTCTTTGGCTTCGGTAGCATTTCTTGACCAAAGTAGGAAGACATTTATCGCATATATTATACTGAAGAACCCTTTTGCTTTGCAGGCTTATTCTTATATCTTTCTTAATCAGATTGTTTCGCTCGATTTTTGCTTTTCGTCATGAAATCACTCGACAAAAGGAAAGAAGGAAAAAAAAAAAAAAAATAAAAAATAAAAATAAAATAAAATGATTTCTTATTCTTATTTGTAATGAGCAGTAATATAAGGTATATTAAATAAATCATTTATTTTTTGATTTCAGTTGTAAAAAAATATTTATTATGGATGGTGCGAATTCTAACAAAAAAAACGAAAAAAATGACAATTTAATAAAGATATTTTCGGATGATATTTTAACCAGGGAGTCAACATCGCCTGAAAACAAGTCACGCCTCTGGTGTGTGCTTCTTTTGCGGTTTCAAATAAGCTTATTTAATCCAATTTGTTTCACCAATTTAATTAAAAATCTTATAACCGTTGTAATACCGGTAAAATACATTTTATTTCTTGATTAATCCTTGAAAACTGCTCCAATTTTTGAAAATATTTTTAGCTCATCTGCAAATGATTTAACGGAAATTGCTATGGTTCAGCCATTTACAATTAAAGGTTGCTTATTTTTTGCATCTATAAATATCCTTTGTATTTCATTATATTGGAATATTTTTGTTCAAGTCATGTTGATTTTTAGGTTCGATGCCCGACATCATGCAAACAAGAGAGGCAAATAAAAAATTGAAAGCCGATTTGTTTGAATTAAAATCAAAATATTATCTTTTAAAGCAAGAATTACCCGCCATTCGTGATAATAAAGACATAGATTTCAGTGAGGATGTAAGTGGAATAGAATAATTTTATATGGTTTTGGTCTTCTTCAAATTCATTGATCTCAATATTTTTAGTATATCAATATGCGAGTTAAATTATCGGAAGCAGAAAAAGAACGGTTAAATCTGAAAGCTGAAATAAATGAATTATCTGAGAAACTTAACTCATTGATAACCACGCGAAAGATGGAAAAATCGGAATGGAATGAAGAAAAACAGATGATCGTAGCCGAAACAAATCAGCTTCGTGAACAAATAAGCGATGTTCGTTTTATTTCAGTATATATTCTACACCGTCGTAAGATCCTCCTGCATTGTTGCTTTGACCTTGCTGGCGACGAAAGAACATAAATTTTCTGACCAAGTTGAAGTCTTTTTTTCATTACCTAAGTCAATACGTCGCTGAACCGTATGTCCGTTTAAAATATGCATATCTGTATATTTCTTTTTTTGTTAAGTTAGAATATAATAATTTCATAAAATTTTATCCTTATTACAAATATTATCACTACATTGGGGTGTGAAATACTTTTTTTCAGCTGAAGCAAAAGTTATGTTTGAAAACAGTATTCGAGCTAGATTTGGAGCTAGCAAGAAAGCCTGCTGACGACGAAAGTCATGCGGAGAGTTCCATAAGCAATGTTTCGCTTATATCAGAAAGCTCTGGGTTAATTCTTTTGACATTAGTTATATTTTTATGGGTGAATTTTTAGATGCAAATGCTTTTATATTTTAGACAATTAGCGAAAATGCATTCAATAATATTGCGGAAACAGTATGATCAAGAAAAGGCGAAATTAGAATTTGCCAAAGAAATCGATTCATTGAAAGATAAGTTATCAATTCTTGAGTTAGAAGTAAAGGAGAAAGACCATCAAAATGATCAAATGGAAAAGGTTATTTTTCATGACTATAATTTTTTCATGACTATAATTGTGGAAAACAATGAGAATATATTTTCTATTTGAATTTTTTTAAAATTAGCTGTGTTGATTTGATTATCGTCGAAAGTGAATTTCAGGCTTACGAGGAGATGAAGAAGGAAGTTTACAAGCTTGAAGAGGAAATCAAGAAACGTGATAAAGCTATCAATGCCTTGGCAAAAGCATTAGATAAAAAGAGAGAGGCTAATTCTATTTTGCACCAGGTACTTATTAATGTTTTTGCCTTTCATTGTTTTTTTTATTTTGGCATCACCTTTTTTGAAATTTTTAAAATTTGCATTATTAATATTTTTATAATAATATAATATTAATATAATCTAATGCCAAATTTTTTTTAAACTGGGTAGGAATTTTTATTTTTTCATATTTTTTACTTTTTTCTAATCAACTAAAATATTAATAATATATTTTGAGGATGGAGACGCTGAAATCTTTTTGAGAGATCCTTATGAAAAGGAAATGAACGAGAAGGTAACATTATTTTTTCATATATCCAAATATTTTTGCTTCGCGTAATTTATATTTTCTAAAAATTTTCAGAATCTTTTAGGCTCTCTAATATTATTTTTCCTTTTTTTTGGATTTAATTCTATTTTTTACTGTTTAGGTTAATATAACCACAACTGATTTACTCAGTCGGTCGCTCGTTTTAAGTGAAGATCTTGCAAATATGAAAGCGAAAATGAGTCTTTTTAAATCAGTGTGTTCAAAGTTGTTTACGAAGCTGAGTGGTACTGCCAATTTTCTTCAGGTTTTCACTTCATTCTATTTTTTTTTCAAAATAGCAACCATTAGCGACTTTTCAATAAATTTCTCTTTATTCATTTTCTCAACAAATTACGATTTGTTTGCAGTCACTTTTAGCTGAATTTGGTGCCACAGAAAAAGGGCATCATTTTATTGATGAAATAAATGAACTGAGAATTGATCTTGACAGTTCATTATCCCTTGTTCATGAAATCAGCAAGAAAATTGGAGGTAAAATTAAGATAACTGAAAGTTATAATAATTTATTAATTTAATTTAATAATGTTGAATATTACTAAAATTATTAATGATTATTATGATGAAATTTTTTGCAGTTGTGAATATTTCGGACTTAGAATCTATAAAAAGTTTTTTGAAAAATTAAAAATTAGTCTTGTCATATGAAATTTCTTTTTATGTTAAATTCTATAATTTTTTTTGCAGAAACAGAGGTGAACGTTAGTGATCTCAAAATATATTTGGAGCGCACCGTTAATTGCTCAATGGTTAGTGGTTTTGTTTCTGGCCTATTTAACTTAGCTTCTATTTTCATTGCTTTTTTAAATCATTTCATGAAAATAATTTTTACAGAATGAAATTGAGATTTCGCAAAATTTGCAAGAAGTAAAGCAAGATATTTCGGATCAAAAGCTTATAACCGAATTGGCTGCCGTTAAAAAGTGTCTGAATGAGAAGGAACTTCTGTGGGCACAAATTGAAGAGTCATTAAAAAAACAATGCACCTATCAAGAAGATCAAAATACTCAACTTCAACAGGAAAATTCTTCATTAAAACAATTAGTCGAGGTGAAGATAAGTTCTACCACTAATCTGCAATTTTATTTTATTTTATTTATCACTTCTAATGCCATTACCATTAATGGTTAGGCTTCCATTGGCAACATGAGTCTTCAAGCTGTATATTTATTTATCACTATACGAAATTGTTTTTTCTTGGATGTGGTCATCTTTCTTTAGCAGCGCTCGCTATTTCTGGTTTTCTCGTCTTCATTAACTAGAGCCTTTCATCAGTTTTTCGATATTACTATCGCCATCTGGTTGTCATTTTTAATGATTTCACCCACTAAAAGTTAAAAGTTAAAAATGCTTGAAACAACTCTCGTCACCCCACTTCGCAATATTCTTATTTACCCTTTTATAATCTATATCTATATAGAATTATAATCTATATCTATATAGAATTATAATCTATATATTCGATACTGATACTGATAATTTTTGTTGATTGGTAATTATTTTGGTCTTTAGGACCAAAGATGCCGTTTGGAATGTTTAAATAAAAATTTGGTGAAGCATGATGAACAAATACAGTTATATAAATCAGTAAGAATGTTTTATTTCATTTAATTTATTTTGTAAAACTTATATATTAAATTGAATTTTTTCAAAATTTTAAAATTTTAAAAATTTAAAATTTTTAAAATTTTAAATTCAAATTTTAAATTTAAATTTAAATTTAAACTTTAAAATTTTTGCAGATAGAAATATTAAGAAATTTGTCTTTTAATAATATTTTTCACACTGATCAGATTGAAATATCGATTTCCATTTAGGAACTTCAAACGTTTCAAACAGAAACTCACAATTTCAACTGTCGGCTGCAAAAAATACTAAATGATCTATCAAAAGAAATTTTTTGTACTATACCGTCGACATATATTTCTGATGACACTTCCAGCACGTCTAACATGCTTCACATAGCAGTAATTTTTTTTAGAGTTTTTTATCTTTCTGGTTTATTGAATAAAGCTAGAAAAGTTATTTTCAGATTTCTGTGGTCGATGAACTTATAAAAAGTCTTAGGGAAGAGCTTCATCGAGTTACTGATAATGCTAAAACTATTGAGGAAGGCAGAAAAAAAGCGGAAACAAACTGTGCTTTATTTTTATGTCAAAAACAGAAATTTGAGGCAGTTATTTTTGTTTTTTATATATTTTAATATTATGTTTATTTGTTTTATTTGTTTTTATACCATATTATTTACAAATTACATATTTTATAGAAGAAAATGGTCAAATATCGTGAAATCGTTGAAAGCATGGAAAGACGGAAATCCAGCTCTTCATCGATTCAAGTACAAACTGAAATAAATATTGACTGGATCGCTTCACTCGAAGCTGAACATCAAAAACTGTTGCTAATAAATATTTGCGAGCAAGAGAATGTTAGTGTCATTAAAATCTTTTTAGATTCATAGACTAGTGATCTACTGGCCATTAGGATTTATATCTTCTTTATATTAAATTATTTGATTTGAAAAAGTTATAAAATAATTATTGGCAACTTCCATAGACTTATTCATATTCAGATTCATGCATTGCGAAATTACTTTCAGATTAAACGACTTTTTCAATCCCTATTGAAGAAAGAGAGGGAATTGTTTGAAAATTGTGCAATAAATGAAAAACCAGAAAATTCAGTGAACCAATCTTCACAAATAATGTTTCACGTGTGCAATTTTTTGATCTTTTTTTCAAAAAAAAGTGAAATGTTAAATTTTATTGCAGTTTTTGGGTACAGTAAAAAAAATTCCCTTCCTCAATCCCTATGAGTTGTATGAGTTGAATCATTTTCAATCTTGGGTTTTCTACTAGAAGCCTGGGGGTGCAACATTTCAGCTATTTTTAGCAGTGCGCTGTTCTGGATCTCTTGGATTGTTGTTCTTGGATTCTGTTGAAGCCACTTTCTTTGTTTGTGAGTCACAATCTCTTTTAGTTCTTTTTAGGTATCGTCCTTGGTATTTCTGATCTCTTAGTATTAATATACCTATCATCAATGATGGTTTATGATTCTTAGACTATACTATATCCGGTTGATTGGCCAATATTTGTTTGTCTCTCTGGATGGAGGTTGATCATAAGACAGGATCTTCCTTTCATTATTCTCCACTGTTTCCTTTGAAATATAGGGAGTGTTAATCATAATCTTTTCGTGGATCTAAGCTATATATTGAATAGATATTCTTGCGGACTTGGTTAAGCATTTCATTGGTGTGTTGTTATTGCATCATTTTCTATCTTTTCAGTATTTGCTGGTCTGTGTTTTTTTCTATACAGCTTGAAACTTATCTGATGATTTGGTAGACCAGTGCCTTGATGGATCTGGTGCTTAGCAATTTTTCTTGCCATGATCCCCAGTGCTGTCTTTTAGCTTTGATTTTTCCAAGTTGATGCTTCATCTTCTCTCTCATCCTTTGATGCAATTTTACTGATTTCTTTTTGAATGTTTTGCATCTCGTTCAAGCAGTGGCTTTGATACTGATCTAGCCCTATTTTTTCCGGCCAGTGTAAAGTTTTTGGGTGTTAGACTTGCAGTGGAAACTTCCATTCATTGTAAGGAGTTACCGGATTTTCATATTTACAAGCTCTTTGTTTTATTTTGACCATTTCTTGTGGCTGTGTATCTAATGGTTGGCAAGGCGTACCTGTTTATTTCATAGATTTCGTTTTTCCCATTGATCTGACCCTTCAAGGTCTGTCTTATTGCTTGAATAACATGGTATCTTCCTTGCCTCTTCATCTTGGTTCTCCTGTGGCTATTGGGGTCCTATTCTGTATGTCTGCTGCATGTTCTGCTAGTAGGTTCACTTCATCGGTCACAACTGCTTCTCTTAAAGGATTCTTAACCATCATCCGATCACATTTCTCCAGTCCCAAGTTTCTTGCTGGAGATTCGTGTTATATGCTACATAAACATATATAACGAGTTTTGCTTTAGGAAATTGGAGTTCTTACCGAAATAACTGGTGAAGAACTGGAAAGAGAAGGCAAATACTTATCATTCATCACAAACATATATGAATTTGTTTCTTGTTGGCCACATGGATCTGCCACTTCTCAAACTAACCATAGAGATATCGTTAAAAAGTAATTTTTCCTCAAATGAATATTCATTTTCTAGCTATGTATGATTTTTATTTTACAGGAATCAGATGGTTTTCTCAGACTCAGATCTTGTAAATCTTTTCCAGCAATTGCTTCAGATGCAAAACTTATATGAAAAGGAAGTGACCGAGTTGACATCGCAACTTAAGAACAAAAATATTTTATTGAAACATTTTACGAATAAGGGCAGCATAATGTTTGTTTTTCTCTTTTTTGGATTTTAATATGGCTTAATCATTTTCAATTTTTTATCGAAATATCTATTTTATTCTTATTAATTTATTTTTTTTTTTGTTCGGTTCATTTACAGGCATTGCGAGCCAATTTCACTAAAGCAATCTGGTGATGATCGTATAAAATCGATATCTCAAGTAGATGAAAAATTTGAAGGTTTTTGGCCTGATTGAGAAATTGTTGAATTTGTAACATTAATTGTTTGAAAATATGGAATTTTTTGAATTTTTTTCAGAATTAGACAATGGAAAGGAATCGCCTTTTGAATTGTACACTGGAAAAGAGTTGTCTTCCATCAATTTTAGGCGAATGAGCGATTCAGCTCATTGCTGTGTCCAGATTTTCAAGAAGCTAATTCACCATGGTGTTAAAGTAATTTCAGAGATTTTTTCTGATGCTTTTTCATATTTTAGATTCGATCACGATCAATAATTTTTGATATCAGTATATTTCTGGTTATAGTTAGAATTGATTAGTACATTTATAGAGAGTTGATCTTGAAACGGCATTAGGTATGGCTCGTAGTTTGCGATCACAGTTATATATCCTTTCGAAATGCTCGGATAATACTGAATCTATAAAAGAAAATGTGGCGTCATCGTCGGAGGTAAGCTAAGTGTTGAAAAATTATGCATTTTCTTTAAGTAAAAAATTCAATTATTAATAATTTTTTAATTTATTTTTTCTGTATTTGTCGTAAATATCAGACGGCTAAATTTTTATATAGATTGTTGATAACTTAATGATTTTCATAATTACTGGAAATATTTTTAGAGAAACTCCTTGAAAGAGGAAAATATTCGTTTGCAATTGGCTTTAAATGATGCGACCGAATTACTTAAAATTGCTGAGGGGAAATTAAAAATCCAGGTTTGCCGAATGAATTTTCGTTAGATAATTACTGTGATCTTAGTTTCTTTAATTCTTTAAATTTTCCGTTTTCTTTCTGTCCTACAAAATCTAATTGAAACAATACAATTCAGCCAGAGTCGAAAGTTATTTGTCACCGAATAACTGAAGAAATAAGCAAAATTCACGATGTCCTCAAGAATACGAAGGAGATTCTTCGCTTTTCTTGAAATGATCACCCATTGCAAATGAAATCTGTTTTAATTATTTTCTTATCTGATGTTTTTTAAACTATATCCTTTATATCCATTCAGTTCTATAGTAAAATTCTTTCTTCATACTAATATGCAGTGGATCGTGCTTAACAGTGAATGAGAAATGTTATATAAGTTTGATGATTAAATCTAGATTGTTCTCAGTTCTTATATAAATAGTTTGATTAAATCTTTCTACGAGGCTCTAATTGTTCTGAACCTTGATAATTTTGCTTATTGGCCAATTGTTAATTGTTGGTTTAACCTTTTATAGTTATTAAGAAGAATCTAATTTCATTTGTTACATATATCATTTTTATCATTTTCTTATTACCATCATTTTCTATATGATAGTTTTTAGTTGATGCTTTATTATCCATTTTTTCATTTTTTTAAATTTTTTTCTTATTTTTCTTCTAATTATAATAAATTCGAGCTCAGTATGTAATAGCATTCTTTAACAAATTTTCTCAATAAAATTAAATTTTATCAAAATATGAACATGAGAAAAAGCTAGCTTAATCTGAGCTCATTAAAAATTGCTAAAAAGTTGAGGTTGTTAAAATTTAAAGCGAAGTTTTAGTGAAAAAAAGAATTTTATATATTTTAGTATCTAGTATTTAGTATTTTAGTATTTAGTATCTAGACTGAAAGGATTGAAGCAAAGATAAATAACTACAAAATAAGCAAATTTGAATTGAAAACGCAGTATAACGTGATTCGGTATGTTGAGGTATATTTTGAGTTGCATGAAAATTCTATCAGGAGAAAACGAGATACATTTCAGTCGGGTTGCAGTGAGTTAGTCGGAGTCCGCTGCTGGGGTTCTACTCACTGCAGGAGTGAACCTTTCCAAAAATACGAGTTGCTGGTTCCTCACCTATACTTCCATCACCAATGGACTCCCTAGCATCTATTCAGACAAGCCAGCGGAGCGAGTCTAATCAGTAATGGCGAAAGTTCTTAAAAAAAGAATTTCTTCATATAGTTAGATCGTACCATAAGAAACTTGGGTCTGAAATTAAAGAAATTAAGAGGTGAAATTAAGTTTCGTGGTGTCCAAATGGTTAATTTGTGTTTAGCAAAATTATTTAAGTTGGTTTTACCTTTAATATAAAAAAATAAATGTAATCGCATAAAATATTAAAAAAATTGTGCAAATAGGAAGTTATAGATAATCATATCTGAAATTCCCAAAATTCAAATATCTAATTTCAAGTCATTAATTATTTGCAAGGAAGAGAAATTTCAAAAGAGTTATTGCATAAATCGATATGGGTTATTTTACGGGTTCAAAACAATTTAGCAGGGGGAATCTCTGCGTTCGGCGAAGTTCGAATAGTAATCTATTGCTGATTTCTGGCACACGCTTGCGTTCTTTCGTTATTCCTTGCGCACTATTATACGGAAGGTTAAAAGTGTCCAAAGGTGTTAAATACGTCTCCCGCAACTATTTGTGAGCTGATTGACATGTTACGTATGAACCTTATGTTACCCGTTTCGACTTTGTAGAGGATTTTCTTTGACAATTTTTCCTACAATTTCCTTGTTTCTCGTTCATGCATAAATAAGTTGGTTGAATATGAAAAAAAGAAATGATATAGCTCCATGACATCAACTGCAATGTTTTTCATTTATTTGGCAATCTTTTGCTAAATGGTGAGAGGGAAAATTCAAGTAGGATTCGTATTTCCTTCCTAATAACGCTTATGCTGGTGTAATGAAAACTTCCAGATTTGCTGATACTGGTCCTCCGTTCATTTCGAAAAGCGCTTTTGAGCATGAAAAATTCTGCTTGGCTTCGATTACAGATGGTAAACCGATCATCATTGTTAACTGCCTAAACGTTTAACGTATGCTCCATCTGTACCTGCATTTAAAAGGCTAAACCGCTTATTACCGCTTAATGCCACTTATTACCACTAAATAGTCAAAAATTCATTTATGTATAGGAAGAGACTGGTAAAAATGTGTTTAAAATTCAAAACATTCGCAAATATTTGCTAAATCTCTTGGCCTAGTAATTTAAAAAATTTTCATAAAATTTCATGTTTCTCTTTATTTTACTTCAGTTTTTTTTGCTATTTTTTATTTGATTTCTTTAATACTCATCTCCATAGTAATTTGCAATTTTATAAAGACCAATGTTAACATATCAATTAGAATCTGCTTAATTTGCTGGATTTCTCAGCCATATCATTGATAAATCCCAGTTATTTGGTTTAGTTATGGCTTATCTGATTAAGATTTGGCTATATCTCTCAAGCCTAATAAAAAATCCAAGATCTTTTGGTTTATTGATAATTGAAATGAGTTTCGAAAATGGCCATTTTCATTGTTTTCATGTCAAGATGTTATCAAGATAAACAAGTACCACAAAGTGCGAATAACTTAATTTGATCTGTATATTCGAATCTGCTCCTTGTAAATCAAACTGGTTTTATGCCACTTAATCGTCAATATTTCTCGTTTGCTGCAATGGTTACTTATAGTTGACCTGTAATTATCCATTATAATGGAATTACAATTATTTAAAATTTGAATATCTGAGGCCTTGTCTCGATCTTTGACGCATTGGTCATTTGGTTCGAAGAGGGGATTCGTATGGTCGGTCCCATCATTTTTTTGAGATAATTTGGTTTTATGTTGCTAAGCTCGAAATTTATAATATATCGGGGTGAGGTGGCTTATTTAATTTAATTTGCTGCGTTTGACTGACAATGCTTTTAGTGGCAATAAAACTATGGCATTTACAGTGTGTTTCACCAATTCAGAAAAATTAAATTTTATTAATTCTTCCTTGGTATTACTTGATATTTGATATTATTGACATTTGATTTTACTTGATGGCTTCGGGTTTAAAAGCACTTTTTTTCGACAGCCAAATAAAACCTAAGAATCCTTTCGTTCAGGCCTAGGCTTATTTATTTATACTTTAGGTTTTAGGAAGAACTCATATTTTAACATAACACTTATCGTATTTATTAATATTTTAATTATATTAATATATATTATTTATATTAATTATATTTAATTATATTAATTGTATTAATATAATTATATAATTTCATTAATATTTCAATTATATTATATATATATATAATTATATTATATTTTATTATATTATATATATTATATATAAGTGATTTAATTATGTATAATTTATATATAATTAACTTATATTTTTCATGGAAAATAAAAGTTTTACGAAAGTTTTCGAAAATAACTTTTCGAAAAAAACTGCGATAAAAAGATTGGATTTCCGCAGATCTTATCAATTTCGTGAGTGATTAAAGGAAAAAAGGAAAGATAAAAAATATTTGTTAAGCTGTTACCTGTTATTTCTTATCACCACTATTCAAAAACTGCTATTGTTCTCTAATATTATATACATAATGTAAAATAAATCATTTGTAGAAAAATTTTATTATGGATGTTGCAAATCTTAGTGAAAAACAAGGAGAAATAAAAAAAAAAAAAACGAAAAAAAGAGATTTTCCAACGACTTCTTCGGACGAATCGACTGTTTCAACTAGCGAGTCAAAATCGCTTGAAGACTTGTAAAAATTTGTTTAAATAGGCTTCTTTAACCCAACAAGTTTCGCCAAATTATTCTTAGATCATATAAGTATTTAACTAATAGCATCAAAAATATATTTTAATTATTAAAAAACGAATTTTTTTCCCACCAATTTTTTGATATTTTCAGCATTTCTATGAAAATTTTGACGAAAATTAAGATTTACTTACCGCAATCAGTTTTGACGAAAATTGAAAGTACTATTTATTTTTACTTTTTGTATTTGTATAATTATCATGTAAATTAATATCCATTTTCAAAATATTGCCAAAATAAATATCAATTTTCTCTAAAACCGTTGCGAAACAAAAAAGGCTACTTATGTGGTACTTATTACTTAAGTAAAAATGGATTCGAATGGAAGCAGTTTGCCTTACCAACAATAAAGACCGATTAGTCAAGCATTAAGAGTCGGTTGACAAAGTATTTTTATCATTTCATAGGGGGTGCATTGAAGTGAATGAGCGAAAGGGATTCAAATATTAAATTAAGATGAAGAAAGCTGGACAAGGACAAATGGAGTACGAGGAATAAAAAAAAAACCTCTGATTTCGTTGAATAATTCAATAAAGGAGGTAAAAGCCAGGCGGGCTGAGCGCAAAAGTCAAGCAGTCGAAGTTAGAAAGTAGCCCCTTTTGCTTTCGCCATTTCGCAACAGAAATGTTTGAAATTGTTCATGTTGATTTTTAGGCTCGCAGCCCGATGACACCGAACAATTAAGTAGAGAAAATGAGAAATTACGAAGGGAATTGTCGGAAATGAAATTAAAATATCGTCATCTGGAGGAAGATTTATCCGCCATTCACAATATTAGACAGGAAAATTTTAATGATGTAATTAAGAAGAGAGCAATTTGCAAAAGCTTATTTTGCATAGTTTGAGATTTCTTTCATTCGCAACATTTTCTCTGTGAGTTATTCAGTATTACAATATGATGGACAAATTATTGGAAGCAGAAAAAGAACGATCGAAGCTGAAAACTAAAAAATTTGTCCGGAAAACTCAGTTCGTTAACTGCAGCGAGAAATCGAGAGGCTTTGGAGTGGAGTGAAGAAAAGCAGAAAATCGTAGGCGATGGCGGTTTAAATCAACGTCTCGAAAAAGAGAACAAAGTTTGTTTTACCTCAGTAAACCTTCTTCTTTACCTTCTTTTTGTGGTCGACGACATTTTTTTAAATTCAACTTGAGAACTTGTTAACTGTTGAAAGTGAGCTTAGCTTAACAGCGAAGTATTCGAAGCGAAAATCAAAAAACGTGATCAAGCAATCAGTGCCTTGGCAAATGCACTCGATAATAAGGCAAAGTGCAATTCACTGCTGCATCAGGTACTTATTCTTTTTGCTTTTCGCTGATAAGCCACTGATAAAAAAAGGACATTGATATGACATCCTATTTTTCATAGGGCCTTTTTTGATAGTCGTCTTTAAAATTAAGTATGAACTTCAGTGTAGATTTTTTACGCGGATTTTTTTTCATATGTGAATTTAGGAAAACAGGTGAATTTTGTTTTATTCCATTCTTTTCTTTTCTTAAATTCTTTTTGTCCAAGATAATCGTAGATGGTTTTTCAGTATGGTTTCTTCTTCGTTTAATATCTTAATTAGGGATAGGATGGCTTAGTGGGTTGTTGCTCAACTCGGGGCGTGGGTATTAAGGTTCTATTTCCAGCAGGAGTCCAAAAATCCGAGTGATGCTGACGACTCACCTATATTTCTATCGTCAGGGACTCCCTGGCATATTTGTCCAGTGCGACAAGCCAGAGGAGCGAGTTTAACCAGCAATGATGAAAACTCTTTAAAAAAAATCTCTTAATCAAATTTCAATTTCAGTTAAGTTTATCTGGATTTAGTATCACAGAAAAAGATCTCATCAAGATCAGTGTCTCATTAATGAATTAGATATGCTTCGAATTGATCTTGACAGTTCGTTATCGCTTATTCTTGAAATTGCTGCAAAAATTGAAGGTTAAAACTTTTGATTAATATATTAATTAAATAGCTTGGTAGGTAATTTAATAAAATTTTTCCATTCATTATTGGTACTATGAATATATTGGTCTGAAAATCGAAATTATCTATCAAAATTTTGCATTTAATGCTACCATATAAATGTTCGTATTGTCCTACCATAATTTTTTCTAGAAGTAATGAAAAACATCAATCATCTTAAGATCTGCATGGAATGCATTATCAATTGTTCAGCGGTTAGTATATTATATATATATATATATATATATATATTAGGTTTCTTATTTATTAGGTTCATTTCACTCGAATAATTTTTTAAAGAAAAATTCTGGATTAAGAAACTTGCGGTCAACAGTTTGAAGTGAGATTTTTTTGACCACAAGAAATGCTGCCTAACTGAAAAGGAGTTGCGCTACTTTGCGAACCGAAAAATCATTAAAGAATCATATGAAAGATCGGGAAAGACGACTTCAAGAGGAAAACTCTTCATTAAAACATAGTCGAGATGAAAGTAGTTTCTGCCACTAATCTTGTAATTCTGCTTGTATTAGTAGGCGAAATTTTTTCTGATTTGGCTATCTTCATTGTCTACCACGATGAGAATCTTTCAGTTCTTATGAAGATTCTTTGATGATTTTTTTTCAAAAATATTCAGCGAATTTCAATTTTAACGATAGTTGTACCAAAAATTAGAAATCAAATAATCAAATTTCGTTTGACCATTGGCTTTGATCATTTTTGCCTATGGTACACCCTACTAACCGCAAGTGGACATAGATCTCACATGATAATATCCACTTTTCTTTTTAATACATTAAGAACCTGCATTAAGAATTTCGTCACAAAGCATCTGTGCTGGTTTGATCAGAGTTTTGTCGTCGAAAGGAATTCACACATATCTCATACTTGTTAAACCCAGTGTTGAAAGCATGGAGAACTTCTGAAAAACTGGACATAATCAAGGAAGATTAGGCGGCTCAGCGATATACAAGTGGCTGTCCATGAATAATGCCTATTTTTCAATAGCCCTTCCTAAAAAAAGGCATTAACTTGCTAGATTTGATTGCTGAACATAATGAATTTTGCTTCAGGGTGCTGGAGCTCTGAAAGAAATAAATCAGATGCTCTTCTCAGATAAACACCTCACAAATCTCTTCCATCAGTTATTTCAAATGCAATGGTTATATGAGGAGCGACTAATTAAATTGACATCGCAACTTACGAGCAATAATATTTTATCAAAACGTCTTCTGAACAAGGACACTGAACTGTTTGCTTATTTCTTTTCTCTTGAATATTCGGATTTTTTCATTCGGTTTTTTATGTTCATTCACTTCCAGGAATTGTGAACCATCTTCGCTAAAGCAATCTGGCGATTATCAACTAAAATCAGAGTTACAAGTAGCTGGAAAATCTGAAGGTGTTTTTTAGTATTTTTGAGCAGTAATAAAACGTTCATGTTTAGCATTTTAACTTCTCTACAGATATGGAATTTCTCGTTTATTTTTTCAAAAATGGAGGATGAAAATTCGTCACATCTCATCAGTTTTAAGCGAATTTGCCGTTCGGTATATTCGTTTTTTTCAGAGTTTTAAGAAGCTAATTCATTATAATGGTGAAGTAACTTCAGAGATTTTTCATTATTTTTTCATTCTCTCAAAATCGAGCAGAGCTGGCAATTTCATTTCATATCAGTAAGTTTCTAATTATGGTATTTAGTATATTTATAGGGTCTTGAAACGGCGTTAACTATGGCTCGTGAGTTACGTTCACAGTTATACAATCTTCCGAAACGCTCGCATAATGCTGAAAACCTGTAAAATCATTTTCAGAAATAAGTTGAAGTAACCAAAAAATTACATTTTCTTATATTTACAAATAATTTTCCAGTAATTCTTTCAATTTTTTTCTATAGTTTGCCATAAACATTAGCTAAATTTTAATTTATTTCGCTGTTAATAATTGTTGTTGATAATTTAATTCCATGATTGTCGGAAATATTTTTGGAGAAACTTAAAAATGCAAAGAGGAAATGAAAAATCCGGAATCACTGATTAAATTTTGGTTACACAACCATTATTCATCATAGATTTTTATAGTTGTTTTTAATTATGTAATAAAAAATTTTCCGTTTTTTTCACACAGAATAACTAGTCAATGAAACAATATGTTATTCCGCCACAATCGAAAACTGTGCATTACCAAATAACCGAAGAAATCCGTGAAATTTTAAAGGGAGCAAGATTTTTCGCTCTTTCAACAAAAAGTGACATGCATTCCAAAAATACAGTCTCAATCTCAAGTTAAAATCTGTGGTTCCCATGAATAACTTTTTTTAATTTTATTTTAAAGCGCATTTGGTTCATTATTAAAATTTTCGCAAATTTTTTCCCGTAGATAGTGGACCTAATGAAAAATGGCGAAAACTTTCTTTAAAATTTTGATTTGGTTAAATTTAGGTGTTTTAGTTTTTATGACAAAGTAATAAAACTTTCGGCTGAAAAAAAACTTCAAGCGAAGCAATATTTGCAATGAATTTGATAAATTTGGCAAAATTATCGACAAAAGATGCTCATCATTAGGATTTCAGTGCATATATTTTGATCATTATCAGATCATTTTATCATTAATATCATATCCTTTTATTATTCTTATTATTATCGTATCGTTTTATTACTATCGTTTTTTAGCTTTTTTTGATGTATGTTTTGTTATTCAGCCTGATTTTTATTTTTTCATTCCTTCTATTTATGATCGAGTTTGAGTTCGAGGGCTTGGATTTGAAGAAATCAGGGGTTAACCTTTATATAATGTATAGCCTTCAATGAATTCGCACTTTTTCTATAGGCAATATATAGGCATCGCATATGCAAGAGTTGATTTTAGCAATGTGCAGCAAAGAGGCTAAATGCAAATGCAAAGTTGTATTAAGATTTGAGTTTTAAATTTCAGTTGACTGGTTCAAAGTGATACACTTCGAGTTGAAACTGTTTTGTATGAAGTTTTGATATGATATAGATATGATATAATAAAAAATTCACATCATGCAGGAAGTATGGTGTAATGGTGTAAAAATCTCGATTTTTACCATTCGATTAAGTATAAATAATACGCTTATTCACACTTATACTATTTTGTATTTCCTGTTTAATTTGTTAATTTTTGTCGTTTTTTCTATTTTTTATCATTTATTTTCATTATTTATTGTTTTAATTGTTGTTAATAATGTGAGAATATGGCGTTTGCCACCCTGCTTGGTTGATTTGCAGTAAATAAATTTTGAAGAGATCAGGGGTTAACCTTGAGTTCTGGGAGAGAAATAGATCTCATTTTCCCGTAATAATTATTTTGGCTATTATAAAAATATTTTTTTAAACAACACTTTTTTAAACAAAACTGCAAAAATATAGAAAACTATTATACAACAAGTACTTACTGATAATTATTGTATCAATGTATTGAAATAATATTTTTTACAATCTAGTTTAAGGTTGACGAATAGAATGGCTCAGTAGGTTGTTACTCAATTGGATCGCCGATGCTAAGGGTCTGCCCAAAAATCCGAGTGATGATGGCGACTTGTACTTCTATCGCCCAAATTCCCACTGTCTATATCGTCATCTTCCAATATATTTCTCTTGTTTTTCTTAATAAGAGTTTTTATATGACGAAAATCAGCTATAATAGGAATTGGGAAAAAGAAATAAATATTTTAACAATTTTTAATTATTTTTTGGTGAATGAAGAAGTGGAAAATTCCAAAAAATTATTAGAATTGTAAATTTTTGTAATTGTAAACAATAACAGTGAAATATTATTGAGCAATTAAGTAATATTAAATAATATCCATTAATCAAAATAATTATAAAATTATTTTATTATTGTTGTCATTATTATTAATATTATTGATTATTATTATCAATCACGACAACTGAACTATAAATAAATAAGAAAAATTAAGGATCTTTAAATAAATTTTGGTAAACAATTATTTCTAGAGATAATGATAAGTTAGAGATAAAATAATAGAACAGATTTTCTTGAAGAATAGTCTAAGAAGTAAACAACGTTCAGTGTCGAAACATGCAAGTGAATCCCTACTATCGCATTAATATACTTTGAAATTTATTGTGAAATTTTAAAAAAGTGCAACATATTTGACTTGTTCATTGATGTCCCATCGATTCCCAAGGCTCCCATCAACAACCCATAATCGACGGAATCAATCGAGCCCTTGAAGATTTATTGAGATCTTTGAGAATTATTTGCACCGAGTCCCTTGAGAATCTCTATTTTCTCAATTAAATCCGAGAGATGCATAATGATAACCTTCAGTGTTGTCGATATATTTAAAATATATTTGAGAAAGAGAAAATTAAAAGGAATTTTTCATAAATTTTTTTTCCATAAGGATATATCCAGAAAAAAATGATAAAAATCTTTAATAAATTGCCTTAGGCAAAGAATAAAGAAATTGAATGATAGAATTTATAAATCTGGCGCTTGAATTCATCGCATTTTTCCATTTCTCTTTCCGCTTTTTTAAGAAAAATGAAAAGTTTTCTTAAAATCTATTCGCTTTTCTCGCAGAATTTTCATAAAATTTCCAATAATTTCTTTTTTATTTCCAACAAAATTTTAATAAAATTTTTTAAATTTTCTTTTTTCGTCGTTTTTCTTTTTTTAAACCATAATGTATGAAAAATTTTAATAATAAAGATAGCAAATTTCATAAAATTTATTTATTTACTTTTTCGAAATCACTAAAGAAGTTTTTCTTTTTTGCAAGCCAGCAAACAATCATTAAGCTAGCCAGCAAATCGATATCCTGAGGCACATACATACATGCATATTTATAAATTCCTGAAAATTCTTGTTTGTCAAACCCAATTCATTTAGAATTTAATTAGATAATTTGAAAGAAAAATTCTGATTCTTCTTGTTATTTTTACTTATATATTTATATTTTTTTATATATTTTTACATATATATTTATATATTTTTTATTTTTTCAGTGATTTGCCATAAAATTATTTGTTTTTCAGTTCGAAACATTTTTAAAACAATTTTCTAGAAGCGTCATGTATAAATGTATAATTTCTAGTTTGGCTGGCTGCATTCACTGTTATTGCGCTGAGATAATTTCACCGAAGAACTATTTGGATACAGAAATATGACTGAGGTGGTTTTAATCGCCATCAGGATATCAGTTTGATTGGCAAGTTTAATCTCAAGAAATTCAGTCTATGTTGTTTGAAGTAGTATAAAGTTGGACTTCTTGGTTCTCTTGTGTTCAAAATCCATATCTAGTCTTTGAAATTGCACAAAAAATTTTCATTTCAAATCTTATTGCTATAAGCATTCTACAGTAGGTAGGTAATATGAATAGCTTACTATCGGTGCAATTGGATTAGGGGATAGAATGGCTCAATGGATTGTTGCTCAAATGGGGGCGCCGATGCTAAGGTTCGATTCCCTGAAGGAGTAACCCTGTACAAAAATCCGGTTTGCGACTCATCTGTATTTCTGTCGCCAAGAAATTCCCTATCATATTGTCCAATTGCGAAAAGCCAGCGGAGCGAGTTTAACCATAATGGTGAGGACTCTTAATAAAAAAAAGTGCGAGTGCAAGCGATAAAACTTCTGGCCAAGAGAGCTCGCCTAAGATATAAAAATGATTCTAAAATTCTAATGACGATTCTAAATTTTTACATAGGTGTATTCGTGGGATATTATTATTATCAATTATCAATATTATTATCAATTATTTTTTATAAATTTTAAGTAAATGAAAAGCATAAAACACAAATAAGGTTTTTTCTTAGTCGTGAAAATTTTTTGAGAGGTTCAAAAAAATTGCGGCTTAGAAAATTGCACGGTCACAACAGCTTTATCCGCCTAAGGCACTAAAATTTAATACACCTATTGCTTTCAGGCCTCGCTTGCATTTATCAAAATAGATATCGCTTTCCATAAAATCTTTTCTTTTAGTTTTTTAAGGGATAATTGAAGTCAATAAAATATTTTTGACTTCACTAGTCAATTTTTCGGCTAAAAGATTGCTTTTTAGCTTTAAGCTTAATTTTCAGAAAAAAACCTTTTTAAAGAGATTTTGATGAGATAGAAAAATGTTTTCCGCTAATTTATCAGTTTTTTTGTTAAAAATTTTTCTATTTTCTGTTCTTTTATCAATTTTCTTCGAAAAAATTATCAATTAATCAAAAATTTCTTTTTAAATTGGCGAGATATTTCGATATTTATGAAATTATTTTATTTTCTAAAAACTTTTAAATTAAAATCTTCTTAAAATTTTTTTTTCATTTAAGATAAAATTTTTAAAAAATTTATTATTAAAAAATTTAAAATTATTTAAATTTAAAAGATTTAAAAGATTTATTAAAATTTTTTAAATTATTAAAATCTTTTCATTTATTAAATCATCTCATCATGCTTTAAAAAGTAATAATATAATAAAGTAATAAAGTAATAGTAAGAAATAATAAGTAATAAGAAATATGTAATAAATCATACATAAATAAAATTAAAAAAGAATTAATTCAAAAAAAGAGACCCGAAATATTCTGCGAATGGTTCTTAACCTGGAAAGAGAAAATTGTTTATAAATTCTAATCTTCCCTAGAAATTCATAGGTCATTAATCTAAGAAAAAAAACAATCTTTCTTTGAATTAATTCTTTCTTTGAAAAAATTACCAATTAAAATTATAAAAAAACTTAAAATATTTTATTATATTGTTATCGCCAAAATATTATTTTGTTTTGTTTTATTTTGTTTATTATATTATTTTTATATTTAATTTAGTGTTTGTACTTTAGGCAATATTCTCAAAGAATATTTTTATTTGGTATTTAAGATTTCTTCATTTTCTTTTCGTTAAGAAAGCAATAAAGACGAGGAAATACGGTGAACAATCCAGATAATCCATGAATATATTTTTTATGTATGTGTGCATGGATGTGTATATAAAAGCAACAATTAATCAAAAATTTTTTTTTTAAACTAACGAAATATTTCAGCCGATTTCAACCGAAAAGAACAATGAAAATATCCAATTGTTAAGCATTTTGAAGAATTGATTGAATGTAACAAATTATCGAAAATTTCTTTGCATTAATGGACATTTATTAAACTGACCGACTACCAGTTATACGCGTAGAAGCTTATTGAAATTGCTTAAATCGCTGATAAACGATTTGCTATTGGTCCTATTGGTACTAAAGTAGTTTATGCACTCATGCAGTATGCCCTATGCGAGGGAATCTGAAGGTAATAGTTAATTCTCGTTAACTTCATTGTTGTTTTTTTTTTCTTTAAGAACTGCGCATAAATTTTGGAATTGAGTATTTTCAACTTTGTTCACAGTAATCCTTAAAGGAAAATTGTGGACCCATTAGTAGCCCACGTAAAAGTGCTGGAAATTACTAGATTATTGATTAAATTTTTAAACTAAATTATTAAAAAGTGGATTACCATCCAGGACAAGCAGAACAGTTCTATATCAACAGTTTTCTACTTTAACAGCGAGTAATTTTTTTTTAAACAATTCGCATATTGATTTGAATATTGATGTCGACCATTTATAAGATATATAAAATAAAATAGTATTTGATAGGACCGAAGATGTTTTCTTTTCTCTCGTTATTTCCTTATCAGTTGATCATATTACACAAAATAATAAATTTCTACCATTTGAAAACTATCACTAAAACTATTCTTTATTGCTCATTCAGATTCAAGATCCTTATTGATTTTTTTCAACCTTTAATTAGCTTATATTTACTTTTATTTTTATCATCCATTATTGATAAAACAAAATTTCATTGATAAAACTGATTTATAAAAAGGAATTTTTCGCTTTTAAAATTTTAAATTTTAAAGAAGATTGTAAATTTGCAACTTTTTTAAAGTTTTTGCATATAAAATTATTCCACTTTTTATTTTAAATAATACTATGCAGTTGTAATTACATATGATAATTGCAATATTAATTGTAAGTAATAATTTTTTATAATTTATAATTGTATGTTTATATTTTATAATTGTAAGTAATAATTTTTATCAATTAATTGAATTTAGCAACAATTAAATTTATCACTGAACCTATTCTCAGTATAAATTTTATTAAATATGAAAGGAAATAAAAAAATATTAAATGACCGTAATTTGATAAGAATCATCGCGATGTCCAATTATCTATGGGATTTCAAGCTTAAACATTCAATCATATTTAATATTACTGTTGTGTTTTTGATACTGCCTTTGGCTAAAATCAGCTAAATTGTGCCTTGTAAATTTCATTTTTCATTTTAAATTCTAGTGGTCTTTTTTAAATTCAAAAACAGAGAGAGAAAGCTAATAAATAATATTGAACTTAGTAAGTGATCTCTTTACACCAACAGAATGTTTACATCTTCGATAAAGTTTTCATTGATACAAGAAATTGATATCTTTATGGATTTTCTCATCATAACACAACATTTAGCTATAATTCCCTACGGCACCATCAAATTTTTATCAATTTTATATAAAAATAATTGAAAATTAAATATTATTACAATATTATTGATTTTATTATTGTATATAAAATATTATTAATGTTTATTATTTTTATCGATGAATTGTTCCTCCACTATAAGTTCGAATTTTTTCCGAATTTATTGTAGTTTTGCTCTTCTTTTTTTGCTTGAAACTATGAAAATAAAAATATCAAAATTAACCAAATTTGGATGTGATTCGTTCGACAAGCTTTCCTCATTTTTTTTGGAACTTTTTTGGAAGTGTATTTTTGTGGAAGCCTTTCCAATCATTGTTAAATACTCTTTAAATTCATAAAATTCCTAAAATAAATAGGTCCACAGTCGATTAAACAACTGTTGCACAAATCTTGGTTAACTTTTGCTAGTGGTTATCAAAATTTCGGAAAAAGTTTTGGCCATAAGAAAATTGTACAAAATTTCCGGTTTGGCAAAATTACATTATGAGTTTGAAAGTTCTATTTGTGCGTTCCAATTTTTTTAATTTCCCTTCACTCATTTCCTAGTTTTCTTGATTAGTGAAAGGAAATTATAAAAGAACACAAAATATTTTAGCAATTTATACGTTGAATAATCATATTTATAATTTTGAAAAGTTTTCCTTCAAAAAATATTCGAGAAATAAAAATTTTCAAAACTAAGTGGCGACGTCGAATGAATTGTGAATACAATGATTTCCAACAACCGTTAGGCACTAATAATGATTGAAGTTGATAAATGTTAAGTGTTTTATTGCCAAAAATAGTGGAGGTTGTTGCACGTGGCAATAGCTTCTGTTCACAGCCTTTCTTTAAAAGTCTTTCTTAAGGAAATATTTTTTCATTTCGAAATGCAATCATTCAAAAAAAAATAAGGAATTTGAAAATAAAAAAGAAAATTTTATGAATTCAATAATAACTTTGTACTTTTTAAAGTTGAAATTTAAATTGTTTGAAATATTTCTCTGCAGAAATCTATTCAGAAAAAAAAAATTTATTAGGTATTCGCGTTTTCCTAGTGAAAAATAATTTGCCATATTATTAAATTTTGGGAAATTTCCGTTTTTCCTAAAAAATTGAGAAAAGATTTCCATTTTTAAATTTTTCTATTATGACTGATCATAATAAGCTGTCGTCAATTTATTCGTTTCCAATTTATTGCTGCAATGGGTGAATGAATGGCTCATCTTTTTTCTAGTCGCTTCTCTTCTGCATCAAAGTTCTTAGGATATATAAAATATAAAACTATTTTATCAACATTTGTGATTTTTAATGAATTATAAATTAATTGATGGTTCATCTTCTTTTAGAAGCTTGCACCAGTTGCACCATTTGGTTGGCTCAACTGGCTACATTAAGTAAGACGCTCCCAACCTTTGCGATTTATTGACATCAGTCCTGAAAGCTGCTGGGAGAGAGCTGCTTTTTTCCAACCTTCCAAAATAGTACTTATTAATGTTTTTCAACGGATCTCCTAGATTATATCATTAAAATCCTGAAACATTTTTTTCCAGTGCAATATTTTCGAACTTTAAAATTTTAAAATTAATTAATCTGTTAAATTTTTCCACACAAAGATTTTGAACTTGAATAAAATTATTAAAAATGATTTGTTATAACTGAAATGAAATAAGATAAGATAAGAGATATATATATTTCTATTTATCATTCCCATGTACTTCATGAGAATCGCCAAGGAGTTTGTTAGAGGCCACTTTGACAATCATTGGTCTAAGGATTTATTCAATTCGTTTAAGTAAATTTAACTAATAAATAACTTAAGTAACTTAAGTTTTATTGATATTATAAATTTAAATCAAGTTTTTATAGAAAAAATTTATATAGAATTTACTACTGAAAAAAATGGGAATAAATTTATTTATTATATTATAATATAATATTATTGGTCATAGTTAATCTAAACAGAAAGGTAGCTCTTCGCTTCCTCCGAAATTCTGAACCATTTTTAAATAATTTTGCATGTACATATTTTTCTTTATGCCATATCACAAAATATATTCTAAAGAAGGTCATTTCGCTATTTCTGCTTTAGCTAATATTTTATGTGGCAGAGCAATGATGAGGGCCACGTCTGTACTTGGTGTTGGCTTTATCGCAATTATACTCGTTGGTTTCCTTGGTTTATATCATTCAACACATCCAGTGAGACAGCCAAAACCAGAATCTGTTGAAGGTTGAATTGTTATTTTTTCTTCCAGTTATGTTATTATTATTTTTTATTTATTGTCAGTAGCGAGATAAAATTTCAGATTATCGCCAGACAATATCAAATAAACTTATGAAAAATATAAAATCGGAAAATATAGAAAATAATTTGCATTTATTAACAACTCATCCACATCCGGCTGGAACGAAGGCTAATAATGATGTTGCAGAAAAGATTGCAGCGCTGTGGAAAGAGAATGGCTTAGAAGGTGATTTCCTTTTGATCATAAACTGAAACCAATTCTTCTTCTTCTGATGCACTTTTTGATTTGGCTGGTACCATCGATTATTTAAATGACATTCTTCCATAAGAGGAATACTTGAGAGAAAATAAATTTCCCGCGTTCAGTTTCGTCTCAAATAATTTATAAACATAATTCATAATTTTTATTCACGAGTTCCACCTTTATTTTAGCGGCTAACTTTGACAAATGCCACTCTATAGAATCCTTCTTTTTCTTCTTTTCTTCCAGCAGCACTTATATTCGATTTGGCTGGTTCCATTGGCTGTTAGGCTGATGTCCTTTCGCTAAATGAGAATTCTTGTGAATCTCTCCAACATTATCCGAATTTTTAATGGCAAGAGTTAGCATCTAGTTTTAAATGGTAGATTTAAATGGATTCATCGTCTAATAGATTGTTTTTAGACGTTCATTTCGTTTCGTACGATGTTTTATTATCTTATCCGGATTATAAAAGGCCTAATCATATGATAATAATTGGCGAAGATGGTAAACAAGAATATAAAACGAAAGGTGTTAGTCCACCTATTATCAAGGAAGAGCAAAGTGATGATGGTACTGAACTACATAAATTTTTTTTACCAATAGAAGAATATCTGAAATAACGTCTGATATATCTTTTATCTTTTATCATATATCATATTTTATCATATCTTTTTCTGGATTTCCCTGGATTCTTCTTGGATTACCTGGATTCTTAGATATATTTATTTTATTTTCTCATTGGATATTATGTCACTCGTTAAATAATTATTAGTGGATTAATGGAATTTTCAGCTGCTGGTGTACAGTGGGTTGCCTATTCGGGAAATGGCCTGGTTGAAGGAAATGTAGTGTACTGCCATTATGGCAGAAAAAAAGATTTCGAACTGCTGCAAGAAATTGGAATTAATATAACGGTAAATTTCCTCATTCCTTTCGATGTTGTCTACACTTCTATATTTTAATATATTCTTAGATAATCATTAAATCTTTTTGGCTAATGATTGCGAACTTATCAACGTTTAAAGTTTTATTTTAAGGGCAAAATTGCCATGCTAAGGTATGGTTTTGGATTTCGTGGCGATAAAGTGGCTAATGCACAAAAATATGGAGCAATTGGTGCCATTCTATTCTCAGATCCCGGTGATGTTGCGGTACTTGGTATAAATCAAGGTTTAGGCTATATGTATATAAAAATATATGTGTTATTATAAATTTAAATTAGTTTGCATATATGAACTCATTATTTGCAGAATTTATCTATCCGAATACGGAATGGATGCCACATGAAGGTGTGCAACGAGGTACACTCATGCTGGGTGATGGTGATCCTTTGTCACCCCTGTATCCGTCTAAAAAAGATATGTTTAGGTCACGCACAGTTACTGAGGTATTTATTAAAAAAAATTTTTTTTTTGAGATTTCATAGAAAATATTTTAAAATGCAGGCTTTGGATCTTGGTATAATTCCTTCGATTCCTGTTTTACCTCTCAGTTATATTGATGCTTATCAAATACTTCTTCGTTTGGGCGGTTTCGTTGCACCACAAGAATGGCAAGGTGGATTGAATATTTCATATCGTTATGGTCCATTTATGAAAAACAATCAAAAAGTTCGGCTTAGCGTCCATTCAACATTAAGTAAAAGGTCTTTTATATGTGATAAATATTCGTTTCTTTTCTGCTATTTGTTTATTTCTGAGGTGTTTTATTTTTTTTGCATATTTTTCGGCATACATTATATTTTTCTTGTATAAATTTATGGAAAAATTTTAAAAAAATTTTTTTAAATAAATTGTAAATAAATTGTAACTTTGCAGAAGAATAAAAAATATTGTGGGATATATTTATGGCTTCGAGAATCGAGACCAATACGTGATGCTTGGTAATCATTATGATGCATGGGTGTATGGATCAATTGACCCAAATAGCGCAACTGCTGTCCTGGCTGAAGTCGCTCGAGCAATGGTAGAAACTATCAAAGAAACGAATTGGAGGCCAGGTTCGTCCATTCACTTTCTTTCTATTCAACACTTTTCCAATTTTTGAACTTTAAAATTATTTATTTCAAATTGGAGAGAACTGAAGACTTGGTTTTCAGCGAGGACAATAATGTTTTGCAATTGGGATGCAGAAGAATATGGCCTTATTGGTTCAACGGAATTTGTTGAAGAATTCGCGAATATTCTTAGCCAACGAGCGATCGTCTATCTCAATGTCGACAACATCCATTCTAATCAATCCTTGTTAGCATATAACACTGCGAATATCGTAAAAATTAGCTATAATTGTTTGAATCCAAAAGAATCTCGAAAATTCTAAAAATGCAACGTAGTTTATAAAAAAAATTTTCTAATAGTATTAATTATATATGCGATGATGTTTATATTTCTTGGACGGCCGAATAAAACTTGAAACTTGATGAACTGCAGATCGGTTGCTACGATTCCAACCTTGTATCAAACTGTCACTGAAATATCTAAGAGAATTCCAAATCCGATGCTAAATGAAGTAAAAAAAGGTCGAACCACTGTCTACGATACATGGTTTGTTAATCTGCCTCTGTCGTTGTTTTTTCCGAATCTTTTTTTGCAAGCTCCAGTACTGTACTTTGGATGATGATAATTTCACACACTTCACGATCCTGTTTTTCCCACTATAAAGCCTGAAATTCAAATATTCCACGGTGTTTTTTTATAATAGAATTAAAGCCTTAAGCCTTAAAGCTCCTTTTATCTGAAGTGGTTCTTCAACAAATTTTTCGATCTGACCAAAGGAGTTGCGTTCATTCAGAATCATTCCAAGAATAGCGGGAAAAGATCAAAATCAAAAAAATCAAAATTCAGCCCTGAATTTAAAAATAATCCTTTGGATAGCCAATCATTTTACCTGAAAACTTACAATATTTTGAATACTTTTAGGATTAAAACATTTCCAAATGAGATCGATTTTCGTCCGGACGCACCAAAAATGAAAATACCAGGATCAGGTAGCGACCATGCTGCTTTTCTTTTCTATTTGGGAGTACCAGTTGTTGATTTTTCTTACAGGTGAGATTTATGGCAAAACAAGATTTCTCAAGCAAATTCAATTGGTATATCCTTATTATATAAACGAAATTTTTTACATCTTTAATCAGGCTTAATTGCGATTTTTTGCTATAACAACAAATCACCATCCAGAAATATTGTTATTTTAGGAATGCAACCACAAATGATAACTATCCACTTTATCATACGCTTTACGAAACACCTTTCACAAATGAACACATTATTGATAGCAACAATCTCGCAGTTCGTTTTTTGACTTCGTTTGCTACTAAACAGAAATAATTTCATTTCTCACCAACTATTAGTATCATATTCTTCACATAGTTCTTAGTCCTTTCATAAGTACTAACGACTCTCCCAAGACGTATAATGTAGGGATGGAATTTGGTCAGCTTTTTGACCAACTTGGTATGAAATATGAAGCGCCAGTCATTTTGGGTTGCTGTAAAATCTAAATCCTTTCAGGTTCACAAAGCGATTGGGCAATACTGGGCAGAACTTGCAAGAGAGTTTACGGATTCGGTTGTACTTCCTTTAAATATTACGGATTTAGCGAATGCATTGGTCAAAATATATATGCCAGAACTAAGGCGGACTATGGAAGATATAAAACATCATGCTGAGATGATAAAAGAAGCAAAATTTCAGCTCAGCCACTTAATTGTTCGCTGTCAGGCAAGATTTTAAATCCTACTGCTTATTGAAACCATTGGCATAATATATTCTCATCTGAAAGATACGATTTATTCGCTAATTTTCAGTTCTCCTTTTTCGCTAGTTTCAAAACATTTCAGGAATTTTTACGCAGTGCGCAACATTTTGAATTTGTAATATTGGAGGCATTACGAAGTTTTGCTTTGAATCCTTACGATCCAAGAAAAGTGTCCTTAATTAATAGTCGTATTATGGGTGTTGATCGTTGTTTTATAAATCCTCGTGGCCTGCCTAACGATCCATCGGAACGACATGTTCTTTTCAGTTTAAGCACAAAAAATCGTTATTCAGCTAGAATAATGTCTGTCGTGTATGAAAAGGTGCAATCTTTTCTGTATTAAACATTACAATTATCAGTTTCATCGATTATCATTTATCGATTGTCAATCACCTTAATTTTTCGCCTTAAATGATTTCAAAATGCTTGAAAACAATGACGAAGTTATTAAAGAAAGAAAATTTTAAGCATAATTTGTTCAAAAATTATTAAAAGGTGGTATCGTATAGATATAATTGATATACTGATATACACTGATAATTGTTGAGCTTGCTTAATCTGCCATTAAAAATGAAATGCAGGTGGTTGCTGAGAACTAATATGTACTATTTCTGGCGAAAGGGAGTCAGCCCAGTCAGAAATGCATGCGGACGAAGACGAAGAAATATCAGAGCATATTTAGCCAACTTGATAAAATCTTACAGTTATGAAAGTTTGAAATTTTACAGATCGATGAGTTTCGTAATGCGAAAAGTTCATTTAATCGTACCAATGCAGCACGAGAAATCGCTTTCCAACTATCAATCGTGCAATATTCAGTAAATTGCGCAACAAACATCATCGCAAATTTTATTTAAATATTCAAACCCCTTTTATTAATTAAATTTATTCGAATTTTTTAAAATTTCAAAAAATTCTTATTTTTTGCATTAAAATTTAAATGAAGAAAAAATTTTTTCGAAATCAAAAAAATTCGTATTTCTTTATACAATTTTTTTTTGTAACAATTTTTTTCGCAAATTTTTTTGGTGAATAATCAGCAAAATTTCCAGTTATTTTTTGCCTTTCTAAGGATTAGAAATCTTTCGTTATTAAAATTTTCTGTAAAACTGAAGGAAATTTTTGAATCGGAAGGTCAAATATGGCGCTGAAGTCGATCGAAGCCGAAGGCCAAACAAAGCCGGTCGAAGCCCAATGCATCTCTTCAAATGTATCCACAGCCTTAGTTTGAGGCCAACTAAATTCGTTTTGAACTCTTTTTTGCTTTTTTTGTTGTTCGAACTTTGTTATTTTCTATTTAATATTTCCTAATTTTTACTAATTTCAATATGTACTAATTTTCTTTTAAATTATTACCTTTTTACGCTTTTTAGTTTGAAATTTAAAGGAAGTAAGAATTTCTGCAGACAATAAATTTCTCGGCAATATTAGGTGAACCGAAAATAACCTTTAAAAAATTTCAATTCGCCTTAAAATAACCCTAAATGCTTGAAAATTTTACTGGGGGAAAATTAAAAGACTCGCTTTCAACCGCAAAAAGGATGAGAATTTTTAATATTTTCCTTCGATTGCTTAATAGTGTGAAAATTTTTTGTGACATATGGGAGCCAAATGTAGCATTTTTTTCATGCAGTATCTACGGGAAGCCGAAACGTTTTTCGAATATAAAAACAATAATAATAAATAACAGATAATAAATTTATAGTAAAATTATGTAATTTATAAATAAACAAATTAATCGAATTGAAAAATTCAGTTAAATCACAGTTCGATTTCTATAGCACTAAAGTTTTTTGCCAACCTTTAATCTAAAATAATGATAATAAAATTATAATAGAATATTAATAATTAATAATAATTACCGATAATAATTCTAATCAATAATAATAATAAAAATAATAATAACCATAGAATTTTATAATCATCGATGCGTTTATAAATTTATGTTTTAAATTTTTAAATTCGAGGTTTAACAAATTTTTCACCTCTTTTTCTCTTTCTCTTTTTCTTTTCATACATAAAAATTTCTTTAAGAAAAATACAAAAAAAGGAATTTAATGGAATTTAATGAAAATGAAAAAAGGAATTTAAGTTTTTAAATTTCAATTTAAATTTCAATTTCAATTATTTCTCTGCTAGGCTTTTTTAAAAAATATATTCATTCGTTGGTACTAATGCAAATATGATAATTCTTCCTTTTCTTAAGAAAGCCAATAAGAAGTAACCAACTGGGCAACCAAAGTGAGTTCGATACAACAAATCCAAGCGGTCGTTGGTACTTACCTTGCACCTTTATTCCTAATGAAGTCTAGCAAAGAACAGATTTGATAAACCTGATGCTGATTAAATCTGATAGAGACAACCAAATCAGAAATGATCAGAAAGGACGAAGATTATATGATGTATTATAACAAAAATATTAAAACATTTACTATACTTAATATCATTAATTTATACGATTATTAACCTAAGTTTTATTATTAATATTATTCTTCTAAATATATATAAACATATATTAAATATTAAAATATATAATTCAAATCACTTTAGTTTTTTTGCAAAAAACATGTTCATAAAATGAAAAAAATTATGAAATACCGTAATTACTCGTTGAAGAAAAAAATAACAATGAAAATTATTTTTTTAAGAATTTTTAAAGGAGTTTCTCAGATTTTTTTAAAAAATCTTCAACGACTAAATTAATTAATTAAAGATAACTAAATTTAATTTCCAATTTCAATTGAAAAAATATCTTTTATTTTTTATTTATAGTTAAATCCACTAAATCCTTTTATTTTATTTGGAAATCCATTAAATCCTTTTTTTAAAAAAAAAATAAGTTGTAGAACAACATTTAATGCATAGAATTTCATTTTGAAAATGAAAAAAACCACAAAAAAAAGGAAAATTAATTTTCCAAAAATCAAAATTGAAAAAAAGATTTAGCGAAACAATAATAACTAATATTATTATTAATTATCGACAAATAAATAAAAACTATTAAAATCAGAAAAATTCGAAAAATTAAAAAATTTCAAAAAAAACAAACACAAAAAATATTGCTTAAAAAACAATATTCATAATTTTCATTTAATAAAAATTGTATCCAAAATTTTTTCCACCAAAAAAGACCGCAATAATTTTTTTTTAAAAATAATTTTAATTCTATAATTTTTTGATATATAATTCTAAACATCAATTAAACCTATTTTAACTATTCACTCCGACAAAATGTTTTTTTTGAAGGAGAGGAATTCTTCAAATCTTATCACTTTATCACTTTGTGATTACAAGTATCTATAAGGTAATTTAAATAATAAATAATTTTCATTATTACGACTCCTTCGACTGAGAAAGTAAACTCGAAATTTTAAATGTTATTATAAACTTTTATTCACAAAATATTTCACGATTCGGATTGCCGCGAGCGTTTTCATTACAAATATAATCCATTATTTCGTCTATAACCATACCCAAATTAATCGCCATTTACAATAAATGCTATACTACCCAACAAATGATGTTTTCTATTTATTTATATAATAATTAGAAAAACTAAAATTTAACAAAAAAAGATTTGGAAATTCATTGTTTAATTATTACTATAAGATGATATTGAAACATTTGCATTAAATATCTAAGAATTTTTTTTTAGAAATTAAATTAATTAATAGCTTATTTTTGCGAACTACAAAACCCATAATAATTAATTAATTAATAATTGATGGCTAATTAAATGAGCATTTTTTCAGAATTTTGTGGCAAGAAAAAATTATTTTCAAAAATGATTATTTAAAAAATACAAAAATAATTAATAAACTAAAAAATTTTAAAATTAAACCTATGCAACCAAATGTAAAGATTAAAAAAATATTTCATGACAGTAATAATAATAGTAATAATAAACATTTTATATTATTAAATAAACACATATAAATAATTATATAATGCAAAACGTTTCAAAATATTAAATTTCTATCTATGAAATATTTATAATAAAAAATCCAAAAAAAAATTAGAACAACATCAATAATAAAAAAAATTTATAATAAATTCTAAGAAAAGCTACTAATAATTTTTAAACAAAACAAAACTACAGCAATTTTAATTTAAAAAATAATTTATAAAATCATTAAAAATTTTTTTGCACCAAAGCAATTCAAGCAAAGAATTTGCGAGATTTACGGAATTGTTGATGCAAAAAAATGTTTTGAGCGATATTTTTATATTAAAAAAATTAATATAATAAAGTAAATTAATGATGGAAAAAAAAAGAAAAAAATTGGGAAAAAATAGAAAAATTTTCGGTGATAAACCTAATTTTAATAAAATTTGAATTCGGCAAGTTTTATTCAATTTCATTAATAAACTAAGAAATATTTGAGAATCATGCAAAATATTCGTAAGAAATAGTTAAAATTTTATCTGTGATAAAGTGATAAGTGCTTCTAATTTATCTTATCATAAAAAGTCTATTTGAAAAAAAGAAAAAAGAAATGCAAAAATATGGAAAATAAACTAATTTTTGAGCGACAAAATATCCATATTATACTAAAATAATAATAATACAATTAATCTGTTTACGGCTAGCAAAATTTGATTCTTTTTTCAAAAAAATATGCGAAATTCCTGATCATTTTCTACGTTAAAACAAATGTTTTAACTAAAAAAAAGAAAAAAAGCAAATATTTCAGCGAATACCTTATCTTATCAATGTCTTCCAATTTTCAGATAAAATAACTGTGCATGAAAAATAGTAGTACATCATCACACATACCTAAGGAAAATTTGTATAACCGTAATAAAAATTTTCAAATTGAAAGAAGAGAATAATATGAATTACATGAGGTTAATGATGCGGTATGAACAAGTAGACTAAATCAAGTTACAGAGGTCATTTGAATGTGCAAGAAGAAAGATTTTGACTTATCGTAGGGAGACCTCCAAATAACATCCCCCTATCCATTTAATCCATTCATCCATTCATCTCTTCCACCATCATCGTTAAATCCATTTCCATATCCTATTTAAAAACATTACCGAAATCGTTGTGCTGCATTTTTTTCAATTTCACCATCTTCTATTAGCAATTCGAAATTAACAAGGCCCAATTTCGATGATACATCATGTTCGATATTTTGAGCATATGCTCGACATTCAACCAACACCACCTTATTACGTGGTAAATTTTTAAATTTTACCACTGCCTAAAATCGAAAGCTGTTATATTGAAATTAGTTTAAGATTTATTACAAATAAGATTTATTAAAAAGTGTGATATGTACTATTGCTGTTTAACATACGAAACTGTTTTTGGATTTTTAGATATGGCCTTCGACCTTTAATCTTTAGGTGATATGATATGATGATAAATGTGTGACTAATAGTAAATGAGACAGTGGATAAACCTAGTTCCAGTTAATTTAATAACAACAGTGAAAGAAAATGGCAACAAACCACTGGTTGATGATAATTTGATAGCACAGTGTATGGAAAATATCGACCATCTATACCAGCTTCAGGAATATATTCAAGATTACCAATATGCTCCTTATCAAAATCGCTCTAAATTAAAAATTAAATAAAAAAATTAAACAAAATGGCCTTACAAGTTATCATTAAGTTTTTACTCAGCCCAGTGGATAATGCTCTTATTTCTGAGCGCCAAAATGGAGCTCAAAAGCGCTGCCGACATCTTCATCCTCAAGTGGTTCAGTGGTTCTCTAACAGAACTTGTTTATTCCGACAATCTAGCAAGGCAAACCTAAATAGGAATGGTAAATGCTCATAGCAAAAGGTTTCTTCTTTTTCTTCTAATAGTTCTCATCATTATTGGTTAGGCTGGCATCATTGGCTACAAGGCTAAAACATCTTCAAGCTGCTCAGTCCGACGCCATCGCTAATAATAATAGAAGCCGTTCCTTTTTCCATCGTCTAAGTCCATATATCGCTTCTTATATATTCAAAATCTTTCCTGATTATATCATTTAATTCTTGGCTGGCCCTTCTCGCTTTTGATTAGGCTGGCTCCATTGGCAATAAGGGTAAGAAGTCTCCAAGCTCGGTCCGCCAACCATCAGTGGGTTTAGCAAATAACGAAATATGCGTCAATATGACTCCTGTGGTGGATGACGAAGAACATGCTCTAATAAGCAAAAACAATGGTCTGTGATAACATTACTACTACAAGTGGTATTTGAGCGAAGATGGATACAATCATGTGCGATTTTATCCACTCGACAGATCCTTAAAATGGGCCTTAGTGGTCAAAGTCTGGTAGTTTCTTCATATCCTCCACTCTCATTGGCCAGCCATATAGCAGGATCGTATGAATTGCAGTTATATGGACGCTGATTTTTGTCTTTATGATGATTTCGCGACAGTTCCATAAAGGTTTCATCAACCGGAAAACATTATTCTAGCTGTCCTTCGTTATTCGGGTTACAATTCAATTTCATCTTTTGCCTGGCCGTTTAGGATTAGTAGGAATGGTAAATGCTCATAGCAAAAGGTTTAAGGATATATATGCATATATTTAAGAAATATATATTTATATACGAACCGTTCCATCACATTTAAAAGTGATAAAATTTGGTTTATATCGATCACGGATAATTTCAGGTACCGAATCAACTGCAAAATCTACTGGCTTCCAAGCAATTAGACGATTGAGCAATAGGAATACACATGGTTGGCCATTTTTAAAACCATATTCATTATCTGCACCACATCCTGCTTCGTTGAAAATGGTTAAATTGAACTGACACGCCTATATAGATAAATAAGCATTACAACAAGCGGTTACATGATATTTAGCACATTTAAAATCTTTAACTTAAATTGATATAAAATACCACCTTTACTTTACTACATAGAAACCTAAAACAATTAATATCGTAAAAAAAATAATTACCGCTTATCATTATCACTTATGATATTTTATAAGGCAAAAAAGAAGAAAAGAGTATATACCAAAGGCACATCACTTCCATTAAGTGCTTGAAGTTTGGGTGAACCTTCCTTGAACAAATCAGCATTACTTTCAGTATCACTGCAAATACGCGTATCTGTTTTATTTTCATATTTCTTTAAATATTCATTTAGTGTATCAACATATTTCTGATACGATTTTTGATCTCTTATATTAAATTTGATAAGCGTCGAATCAGGATCTTCGACTAACCAAGGTTGATAACCAACACCTGAAATTAAATTTTAAAATATTTTTTGGATAATATAAATATAAAAACCGAGAATTTTTCTAAACTACACACTGAAAAAATTCAATTCTAATTATAATTTTTCAATTTAGAAATTCAAAAATTTTAAACGATATTTACAATCAATTAGAAAACAAATACAAAATGTAGTGAATTTAAAGAATAAAAAGGAAAGAGACCTGGATTAATCCCAATAATGGTACCTTTGCCGTAATAACGAGGCATTTTATCATCAAGTGTCGATAAAAATGCCATCAAACAAGCAAACCAGAACGATGCGAGGAATGCATAAAAAACGACGTAAAATAACAATATTTTTGCTGGAAAAAAGGGACAACAATTTATTATTTATCAATTGATTAAATAATCTTCATTTATACACAAAGTGCTCCTTGATATGAAATGAAACAAATGTCGTTAAAAGAAAAATTCGGATTTGGGCTGACGAAAATCCACTAATATCTTTCTCGTTCAAAGACCCTGTTCACTGGTTCCATTCTTCATTTCTTGATATGCACCATAAAAAATTAAATCCAGGTGGTATACAAGCAAAAACCACCCGTAATTCCATTCCAATGATACCTCTAATAGGGAATGGCAAATGTAAACAAAAGAGGAAAGAGGGCTCGAATTATGACGATTTAAAGGATTCCATTTCACTACCGGTTATAGGAAAAAAAACAACATACCTCTAAATAAAAATTTAATGACAAAGAATATTTATTTCCAAAAAAATTGAAAAAACCTTTTGTTTACATAATATCACCTTACATCTTTTTACATAAAACCATAAAAATGGAGTTGGAAATATTTTTCACTATTACTTTTTTGACGAATTTCTTACTTTTTTTCGATAATTTTATTTAAATATCTGAATTTTGCAAATGAAATAACGAACCCCAAGATGAAGCAGTTCGCCCAAAAACAGTTCCTTTTTCCATATTTATTAATCGTTTTAGACCAGTATTGTCTTCAAGGGCTCCATTCGCTTTTCGACCATTCATTAGCTACAAAAAAAAAATTAATGGATTCATTAACTTTATTAATATCTTATTATAAAATTATAAATAAATAATTATTTTTATTTATATCTGTGTTAAAAATATTTAAAATTAAAAATATTTTTAATAAATGATTTTCAATAAATTTTTTAAATTTTCAATAGAACAAAAATGAAAAAATATTTTTAATATATTAATTTATAAAATTTAATTTAATTATATATTTTTATTAACTACCTATAAACTCAAAGCATTCAGAAATATATCAGCAAGATGGCACCAAAGGATGAACTGCTGAAGCATGAACATTGGATCATGCAGAGTACCTCTAACAGGGAATGGTAAATGTAAACAAAAGAGGAAAGAGAACTCGAACTATGACGATTTAAAGGAAATATCATGGCAAAGCAAAGCCCTCCATGGATTGCACCATAGATGGATAGCTAAGGTAAATTCTACCAGTGGTTGGAGAAAGCCGGACTAAAAGGCAATATTGAGGCATTGATTGTAGCAGCGCAGGAGCAAGCACTAAGCATCAGATTCATCGAAACAAAGATTTAGCACCTTGGACATGGCTCCGAAGATTCTAGACTGTGCAAAAAACGCTCCAGAAATAGTCCAATAGTAAAAGGATGTCAAATTCAAGAGGAACAGGAACAGCATATATTGAAAGGCACAACCAAGTAGCTGGCATCATCTAGGAACATCTGCTCGATAATTGGCTTAGAGGCCTCCAAGATTAAATGGGAAAAAACCATAAAAATAATAAGGCGAGGGATTTCTCACTGCAAACAGACAAACAGATATTGGCCAATAAAGTAGATATCGTGGTAATGAACAAGAATAATTCAACATTGGTGATGATAAAGCAAGTGACAGGAACGTCAGAAATAAAAAATATGAAAAGTTAGAGAAATATTAATAGCTGAAAGTGGAATTAGAGAAAATATTGGAAAGAAAAGGCCAAAGTAATCTCAGTGATAATTGGAGCACTTGGAACTACGACCGCTAAACTAGAAAAATGGCTTTAGCAGAAACAATATCAGAGGCCTCTATCCAGAACAGCACGCTATTAAGAACAATTACGATACTACGACCCTATAACCCTAAGGGATCCCTAGGCTTCTGGTAGAGGACTCGAGTTGAGGATGCTCGTCACCCATGCGAATGTGAATCATAGGTTTATTTTAAGATCTTTATTTATTATTGGCAAATTAATTTAAATTTAATTTTTACCGATTATTATTTGACTTTTAAATAAATAAATTAATTTAATAAAAATTCGAAAAAAAGAAACCTTAAATTCAAATAGAAAATAAAAATTTTAATTCATTTGAAAAATCAAAATTAAAATTAATTTTTAAAATAATTTAAAAAATTTTCCATTAAAATCATTTAAAGAGAAATAAAAGAAATAATAAAAAATTGGGGAAAAAATCGAAAAAATTATTTTAACCTTTTTAAAACGGATTTTGGTCATATTAAAAACTATTTTTACTTTCCATCTCATTTTATTTATTTAACTATAAATAACAAAAATAATAAAACAACAATAAAAATTTAAAATATAACAAATTTTATAAAATGTGGAGTTTTGTTTTTTGCTTTCTTTAATAAATCGTTAAATGATTTCAAATGATATGTATTTAAACAGATGTACTAATAATAAAAAATAATAGGTTAGGTTCGGTGAGAATAAGCTTACTTCCTATCTATAAGAAATATATTTATCGCCCTATTATAAAATTTTTATTGCATAGCTACTCTCTTCTTCATATTCTAAATGTTTGTAGTTTGATTAGTTCCTTTATTCTTAGAAATTCAGACGCTTCCATCCGGCACCAAGAAATCCAGAGGAGCTGATATATACGAGTGGACTCCATTTGTAAGGTCCATACGTAAATATCAAATAAAAAGTTAAAACAATTAAACAATTGAATAATTAGTGTAATAAATCTACATTATCTATGTAATATGCAATATATAATATGTGATAGCATATAGCATACTGGCGCGTCTACGTCTGTATATGTTCGTTTGTGTGTATCCGGGAAAAAACTCCTCTATTTCTCCAAAAATCAACAAAATTTCACCAAAATTTTTCCTCCACTTTCCATTAAATAATGTCCTCTATCCTCTAAATCAGGTTAATCCTTTCTAAAGTTTCCCAACCACAGCTATTTGAGACGAAAGCTGGAGGATGATCGAGGAGAATTACAGAGAAGTGACGGATAAGAAAACAATACAACAAAATTTAAAGGGAAGTTAAAGGAATTTCTGCGGATTTTGAGAACATATCAATACTAAAACTATAAAGACTAGAAAAGAATTCCACCTTGTTTATACAATCCTCTTCTTTAAGTCTTTTTACTAGTTATCACTTATACTTTCATATATCACTTTCTTATCACTTATCACTTGTTTATTTTGAATAAAATTTTCATAACTAAAGAAAGAAGGATACTAACCGAAGGATAGCACTGTACGCGATGCATTGCAAAATTAAAAAGAGATGAGAGAGAAGAGACAGATTTGTTTTATATTTGCTATGTATTGACGATATATGATGGTGATGGTTATGGTGACGATAGCAAACATATATACATTGGTCAAGGGCAAAGGCAGTAAGGCCAACAAAATGGCCCAACTTGACCTCTAATCAATCGTTATTATTTATATTAGGTAACAACGCTTAATCAATATTCTGAGCTAATATTATGCTATATAAAAGTGCAATAATTTGTACATAGAAGTACAAAAAAATCTCTTCTTCATTCCCTATGGTTGGTGTAGGCCTGGAACCTTGACGATTCTGCGTTCTTCTTGATAGAGATCTCTGATTTTTCATTTTAGGGCCACAGCACTTAGTATTGCCACTGGGATTATTCTGGCCTTCCTTTTCCACATCTTCGGCAGTTCCTGGTATTTCACTAGCTTCACTAGCTATTCCAACTTCTCATTACTTGGTAATGCTATTTCTATCATCGGTGTTGATTTTTCGTTTTACAGTTATGATTGACTGGTCCAGTACTTATTTGTCTGTCTGGATATAGAAGTATCACGGGATCGTGGTTTTAATATTTTTTACAACTTCCTGGAGAATCTTCTATGTAACCTTGAGAAGGTCTAAGCCAAAAATACATATATGTATTTATTATATAGATATTAATAGATATAAATCCAATCTAATCAGTTATCCTATCAGCTAAAAAAACTTCAGAGTGCAGAATGACAGACGCTATTCAAAAAAAAACCGGAGAAGAAATTGAAAGGGGAGATATGAACAAAAATTTTGAAAATTCATTGATACTAAGACGAATGATGCTAACGGCTCACCTGTACTTCTATCGTCAAATACCTCCCAAACAAAATTTGCCTCGTTCGACAAATCAGCCTAATCAAAAGTGGTGAAAAATGGCTGTTAGAAAAAAAGGAAGGCAAATGAAGAATATTTTAGGAGAAATAAAAAATATGAAAGCACGAACGAAGGAATGAATCTCCATCGATTTTAAATTAACAAGAAATAAATTATCATACTATTAATTTAAAAAACGTGAAAAATTCAGAAAACTTGTCACATCTCATCCTATGGCACTGGAATAGTAGAAAAGCTTGCTAGGGAATGTTTCATCCCAACAGTAAATCCCAGGTCAGTCGAAAAGTCTGTAAATGCTTCATTCAGGATTGAGAAAGTGAGAAAATATAGAGATGCATCATCAGTGATGATCAGTTATCAGTGAATGATGGAAAAATGCCTCATTCTATTAGTCTATTAGTTAGTTGGTTCAGTAAAAAATCCCTCATCCTATTAAAAGATTTGAAAGTTGTCATTATGAAAAAAATTAATAGTTAATAAAGAAATAATTCTAAATTTAATCTAAATTCATTGTTCTAAATTCAATTTAAAAAAGAACATTTTTTACCAAAATATCGTTATCATTGTCATTAGTTACCGTTTTACATAAAAAATTATCAAGCCAGCCTAAGCCATACACTCACTCTTCATAAATAAATAATAAATATTGGTCATATAAAAGAAAAAAGAAAAAATTTCACTCACAAAATATTATAAAAAAACAAATAAAAACGTAAAATATAAAATAAAATATAAAAAGGAAGCGAGCCTAGCCAGTAATAATGCGAGTTATTAGAAGAAAAGAATTAATAGGTGGCACCTGGAATCACCTCGTTATTGCAACCATAGAAATGAGCTTAGCCAGCAATAGAAAATGGTTAAATTATCCATAAGAAAATGGAATACCTAATGAAAACTAGTTTAAAAAATTTATTCAAGAAAACAAATAAAAATGGTGCGATGGCAGTTCAGTGGCAAGATAACTGGCTCTACTCCTGACAGGGGACTAAAATCTATCCAAAAATCCTGATGATGTTGACGACTTATCTGTACTTCTATCGCCAAGGGACTCCCTAGCATATGTGTCAAGTCCGGAAATCCAGAGAGCGAATCTAAGCAGTAGTGGATGAGTGCTCCTTAAAAAAATTCAGGAAAATATCCTATATTATATAAGTATTTAATAATAAAAATAATAGTATTTTTAATAAAGAAGAATAATAACAAAAATAACAAATAACAATAATGATAATAAATGATAGTAATAATAATAAAAAAGAATAATAATAATAATAAAGAATAATGATAATAATAATAGAAATAATAACAGCAATAAAAATAAAATATTAATGTGATAAAAAACAAAAATACAAATGAAATACCGTTAAATTAAACAATTAAAATTTTCGAAATTTCCCAAATAAAATTGAAAAAATAAAAATTAACCCTTTCATGTTCTTTTTGATCGCTATTATCCATTTTTTACGCTGACAAATTCTTTTATATTTTCGATAATTTTTGCTATTTTTTGTAAAAATAAAATTTATTATTTTGCTGCTTTCAATATTCCAATATTCCTGCAAAAATATTCCAAAATATGTTAAAATATAATTATTTTTAAAAATTTATAAAATTCTTAATAATAATAAAA